CTCCCCGCTGAGCTGGGAGCCCAATGTGGGACTCGATCCCAGGACTCTGGGATCATGACCTGAGCTGAACGCAGTCACTTAACCAACTGAGCCACCCAGGCGCCCTCAGATTTTTAAAACTCCCATTAATCTTCATTTCTTTCTGCTTGCTGCGTAGCCATTACTGGGCTTATTATTTTAGGAGGCTGTATAATATTCCTACTATGCAATGGGGTGGTAGAAGGGGAGGTGGGAGGTGAAAGGTGGAAGGATTTTCCCATGATAATAAAAACCACTTTTAAGAAATGTAGCATTTACTTTAAAAGATGCTTTTCCTTTTATTAATGTTACATAATTTAAGAAATACTTTTTTTAGAGTCTGTGATCTCAGAAGAACCAACATTACTGACATTCATTTATCACACAAAGGGAAACATTCACTGCGTTGTCGGTTCAGGAGCTGGAGAAGAAGAGCTTGGGATAACTATATAGCACACCTGCTCCTGGGGCACACTCCCCCACTGCTTGAACTTATCAGAAGGATGGATCCGAAAAGTTCTCAAGGTCAGGGATTATTACTGGCTGCTCTCCTCGGTGAGAGAAGAGAATGCACTTGTTGATGCGGATACTGGTAGACATGACTGTGGTATCCCAGCAACAGAGAAGACAGTTTATCACAGATTTGGAAGTAACTGGGGCATCAAAACCTTCTACAATACTCTTTTCTGATAGCTGCGTTATGAAAGTATGTCACATATTTAATCTTGATTTCTTCGGGAGTTTTCTCTGAGCTCATAGGATGAACACTAAAGCTTGGCACCCAGCCTGTGCACTGCTCCAGATCCTCCCCAGAGCTCTTCATGTACAAGGAGTAAGCACAGATGCTCTCACAAACACTGCAGAGTCTTCCAGTATTCTGCTGCACTCAGTAGGGCACAGTGATCAAATGCTCTCTTCTGATGAGGAGTGTAGCTGTGAAATCTGGGCTATGAGCAGAGGTGGCTTCATCATAAAGCCGAAGTGTAAGCTTCAGGGCTCCTTACTTGCAAGAGCCCTTACGAGAAAAGTCCCATTTGAGTGTCAGTTCTCATTAAGTACAGTTAAGCAGCCATTAAATCATTATTTAAAAAAATTTTGTGACAGCAAACTAAATAAATGTTCTAATAAAGTGGACAAAGCTGAATAAAAACATGCTTTTAAAATATGTTAAAGTCTGGGTTAACATTTCAAATGTCAAAATATATAATATACATATCTGAAATAATAGTTCTCTAATTTGACATTGCTATCATAAAGGCTATTATTTTAGGTTAGGCAGAACTGTCTGCCTTGTTTAAAAAGTCAATATATGAAACTGTTACGGAGAATATTTCTATTCTCAAATTCAAACATGCTTCTGAAATTCAAACACATTATCACTCAATTACAAAAAATAATGACTTCATAATTAAGGCAAAGCTTACTAGGTATATATGTGAAAACCCAGATTACAAAAATTTAATTCCAATCCTAATGTATTTGCTAATATGAATTTCAGTTTATGAACTTGCATTTTCTTTCATGAAGCAATCAAATAAGAGTTTGTGATGGTTTATAAGATAAACAAACCTAAGCAGTAATATATAATCTGACTATAAAATGGTCAATGTTTCTACATTAAGATGTCAATATACATGCCTTCTGGTTTATCAAAACAAGATCACTTCATTAGAGAAAGATGAATACTTACCATCAAAACTAATAGTTGCAACTTTGGTATATTTACTTTCTGAAGCTTTCAATGTAATTGGTTTAAAGTGTACCGTTACAGCATCATTTTGTGGTGTAGGTCGAACACTCTGCAAACAGAAATATATATAACGTTATTTTAGTCCAATGGTTCCCCAGTTACATTATACTGGAGAGTGTACTGAAAAGTGAAGCAGAATCAAAATTGGAAAAGTTTAACTTTACATGTTCCCTTTAAATAGAGTAGGCCAAAATGACACAAGTTCACATTAATTTCACTAGAATATCTTCATGAAATAAAATGATGGCCAGAGGAAAAGTATATGATAGGTCAGTGAGTGTAAAAATCTAGAGACAAACTAGTACACTAGGTATGAATACATAAAACAGAAAAGAAAGGCATTTATTTTCTAAACAAGTGCCCAATTAATATATGAGAGAAGGAGACGTGAAGATTTATGATGGGGTCCCTCTTCAAAACTCCACAATACCAAATGTAATATCCTGACTATATGAAGAATGAACATGAATTTGGGAGCCGGTACCCCTCTGTCAAAGTAGTTTTGCAGATCCCACTTTTGGTGGTACTTTCTCTATGTCTCTAGGGCGCAGCTGTGCAAGTGAGGCAGGCTGCTGTCACCGGGCAGGGCTGCGCTCCCAGCTGCCGGCCTGAGCAGTGGGGCAGACTGAAGAGCTATGTAGCTTGGAGAGGTCAGAACAGTTTAAATTTAAAAAATAAGATCTTTCTAGTCAACAACTAAACCTATAATAACAAACACAGTAAAAGCTTGCACTTTTGGAGCAAGCTAGAAAAATAAATGCATTTTACATTTTAAGATGCAGTTACTTTTTTTTTTTTAAGATTTTATTTATTTATTTGAGAGAGAGAGAGCAAGAGAGCGAGCACAAGCAGGGGAATGGGCAGAGGGAGAAGCAGATTCCCCGCTGAGCAGAGAGCCCGATGTGGGGCTGGAACCCAGGACCCCGGGATCATGATCTGAGCTGAAGGCAGACACTTAACTGACTGAACAACCCAGGTGCCCCAGTTACTTTTTTATTATCCTTACTGACACAAAGCATTTTTCATTGGAAGGAACCTTAAAGATCCCAACCTGCTTCCCTGTTTTACAGATGAAGAGAACCTTGCAATATGGAGTGATGTTTCAATAGCTAGGCATCAAGAGGTGGGGCTGGAAACCAGGTGTCCTGACTTGGTCCAGGGCCTGGGCCCTTTACTTGGCATCCTATTGCCTAAACATGTGTCAATGAAGTCATGGTACTGTACACAAATCTTGATCAATAATCTTCCTTTAGAATTCAATTAGAATCTTACTTGGGTCTGAATTTTGGTTTTGGCTGAATTTTCAGGGGCTTTATAAACTTGTTGTCAAAGCCTGATGCTTCCCATAGAAAGAACACAGTTCTCTTCTGTGACACTCACCAGGTGCACCTGCTAACACGGGCGCGGTCAGATCCTTGCATGTCACCAAGTTCTTCCCCCTGGCTCCCTACCCACCCTTTCAGTTGATCCATAAAAGTGGAATCTGACAAAACTGAATGAAGGGCAGTTGCATGAAGGCACAAGAAGCGCCTGAGAAGAGTATGAAGAAAAACTGCTCCTTTTGGGGAACCCTCCTACACTGTTGGTGGGAATGCAAACTGGTGCAGCCACTCTGGAAAACAGTATGAAGGTTCCTCAAAAAGTTGAAAATAGAGCTACCCTAAGACCCAGCAATTGCACTACTGGGTATTTGCCCCAAAGATACAAATGTAGTGATCCGAAGGGGTATGTGCACCCCAATGTTTATAGCAGCAATGTCCACAATAGCCAAACTCTGGAAAGAACCCAGATGTCCATCAACAGATGAATGGATAAAGAAGATATGGTATATATATATACAATGGAATATTACTCAGCTATCAAAAAAATGAAATCTTGCCATTTGCAACGACGTGGATGGAACTAGAGGGTATTATGCTAAAAGAAATAAGTCAGTCAGAGAAAGACAAGTATCATATGGTCTCACTGATATGAGGAATTTGAGAAACAAGACAGAGGATCATAGGGGAAGGGAGGAAAAAATGAAGCAAGATGAAACCAGAGAGGGAGACAAACCATAAGAGACTCTTAATCTCAGGAAACAAACTGAGGGTTGCTCGAGTGGAGGGGGGTGAGAGGGATGGGGTGGCTGGGTGATGGACACTGGGGAGGGTAAGTACTATGGTGAGCGCTGCGAATTGTGTAAGACTGATGAATCACAGACCTGTACCCCTGAAACAAATAATACATTATATGTTAATTAAAAAAATTAAAAAACAAAAAACAAAAAAACCCAAAAAACTTCTCCTTTTGCCTTGTGTCCGAGATCATAGGGAACAAAGCTGGTTATACACATAATGATCACAAATACTGCTTTTACACCAGATGGCAGGGCATCTCCCTTCTCACTGCTGGTTCGTCTTTATTGGGCCTGAAATGATGGCCCCAAGGGTGGTTCTGCAGTTCTCTGAGCTGGAAATCTTAGTATATGTGCTGCCGAAGCGAGCACCTCTGAGCTGGAAATCTTAATAGCCTGAGCTCTTGGCCTCAGGCTTTCTCAGTATTTTATCTTTCTTCTGAATTTCTCATTTGTTTTTGAATCTCTAATTGGGGCTTCAAGTGGATTTGTTCATATTGATATATTTATCATCAATAAGCTTGCTGTTAGTAGCAATCATTTAAAATGAGAATCTCTTCCTTCCTTGAAGGTTGTGTGAGCATGGGTGTGTTATTTTTAAGAATAAAACAAAACAGTTTGACCTGTGAGATAAACTACAAAATGGAAAGGTTTCATATACTATACTACTACACTAATACTTCTTCCAAAAGAAAGGAAAGCAGTACAGAGTATATGTGACAGTCCCATAATGACTGGCTTATGCAACAAAAGATATTAACTATTTCACTAGAAGTGTCAGTTTGAGTAAGCTGCCCATCTACTCTGGGCCTTATTTTTCCTGCTTGTAAAACACTAGGATTGGATTAGGGATTTCCTCAGATTCCATCTATCTACAAAGTTTTGTGATTCTATTAATTTTGTTTTTTGTTTTTTTTTCAAATGAGGCACCTTTATCCTGAGGTCAAGATTTGTTAGAGGGATGATCAGATAAAGCTCTGTAGTTTGCAGGACTTCCACATGCTCTACTGAACGTGACAGAGCTGCAATGAAACCTTGACCGTTTTCAAACATGCTTGAGGTGGCAGTTCAGTAGTAACAACCACAACACTTTTTGAGTGTTATCAGCCTGCACAAAACCTTACCAGAAATAGCTAAGCAATGGTATTTATTAAAATACAGTCACTGTAAGTTGTTGGTGGGAATGCCAACTGGTGCAGTCACTCTGGAAAACAGTATGGAGGTTCCTCAAAAAGTTAAAAATAGAGCTACCCTATGAGACCCAGCAACTGCACTACTAGTATTTACCCTGAAGGATGTCAGCTCCTCAGAGATAACCCTTTGCATTTCACTGACTGGTAAAACCAACTAACAATCTGTTTTAGTATCAGTCACTAACTGTTGCTTACTAAAGATAATTGAGAAGTGGAAAAAATATGGCAAGATTCCCAGGAAAGGCAGCTTGCACATGTTCTAAATATAATTCTATCCTTTTCTCACGATATTCATTCCCAACTAAAGCTCAGTAACTCTCAAGTGAGATTCAAAGGCCCAGGACACTCTAAAACTACTTACAAAAACATTTGAGCAAGTAAGGAAAATAACCTTCCAGAATGTAACAATTGTATTTTTAACAACAGGTACACAAGTTCACTAAAGCTCATATCAAGCTGACAGTGGTAAAACTGACAAATATATCTGTGTTTCTTATTCATTATCAGTAAGGAAACTTTATGCAAATGTTCCTCTTAAGATATCTCAAGCAAATTCATTCCATCATTTATACCACACTAATGTTTTTTAAGTGTTGAGGAAAATCATATTCTCAGAGTTGCATTATAGACAATGTCAGGTAGGCTTGAACCTGGGCATCTTGACCACTTGCAGGTAAGAAATTTTTATTTTGAGACATTTGCTTCAGGAGTCCCATATCTAGAAAGATGAAGAGACTCTGAATTCCTTGAAGGGGAATTAAAAAACCCTCCAGCTTCTGGTAATGCCTAGCTCATCCTAAGATGTTATATATTTGTGAAATGGACAGAGTTCATCCAGAGGTAAGGACACTTAAAAATGTGTCAGTCTCTATGTCTGGCATATTATGCAGAAAAATAGAGGAAAAAACCTTAGGAAGCTCTCTGAAAACTCAGTTTGCATGGTAGATGGGCTTGTCCCCTGGCTGATAAGTAAGAAGTCTAAGCTAACATCATCTCAAGTGGACCAGTGCAACAGATTACTAACTCTTTGCAGTGCATTCTCCACCTTTACAACACATAAATCAGATGTCACTCCCTTGCTTAAAATTCTGTAATTTGCTGTTGCACTTAAAATAATCAAAGCCCAGAAAGCCACGATTAACTCTCCAGCCCTCACCTTTTACATTCAATCCTTCCCTGTTTCCCATGACATCCAAAGCTGTTCCTGCCTCAGGCTTTTGCACTTGCTGTTCGCTTTGATGGGAACGTTTGTCTGCCAGCTTCTCTTACAGGTGCCAACTTCTTACTCTTCAGTTTTTACCTCAAATGTCAGCTCCTCAGAGACAACCCTATCTAAACCACCTCCCTCCCCCCACTTATATGCCATTCTGTTTCTTTTTTTGTTAGAACTTGGTCTGATTTACAATTATGTTGTATACTTGTCATCAGTCTCCCAGATAAAAAGTGAGCTCAATAGGGGTGGAAACCTTGGTTGTCTGATTTACTGCTGTGTTCTCAGTACCTAGCACAGAAGCTGGCATATAGTTGACGCTCATTAAATATTTACTGGGTGAATAAGGAAGAATGAATGAGGAAGTAAGACAAAACTACCAAAACACTGGCAGAGTTTAGGCTCTGGATATTAGAAAAAATACTACACAGGGAGCTACAGATGCAGATATACAGACAGATATAGATCAGTAGATTTTTTGTAGAAATACCAAATATGAAATTAAAACGATATATTTGTAAAGACTTGATGGGTGTCATTATATACTAACATACTTTCAAGTAACTTTTGAGTTTTTATGGTTGAAAAAGTTGCTTTAAAAAAAAAGCTCTGATTCATTTTCCTTCTTTGGAAAACTAGAACCTGTGTATGTTATAGGACTGTTGTATTAAATAAGGTAATCCATGTAAAGGACCTAGCATAGTGCCCATAGTAAGAACAAAAATGTTGACTTATAATGTATCCTAAAACTCCCTAAGAGAAAGGAGGAACATTAGCCTCTTTCCTTCTCTGTTATAACTGAATTGAATACTATGGTATTTTTTCATTCATATTCTTACAATTAATTGATAATTTCATTTTTAAAGAAAATGTTTATTGAAAAAGACATTTTAAAAAAAGATTTTATTTATTTATTTGTCAGGGAGAGAGAGAACACAAACAGGGGGAGCGGTGGGCAGAGGGAGAAGCAGACTCCCTGCTGAGCAGGAAGCCTGATGCAGGACTTGATCTCAGGATCCCAGGATCATGACCTGAGCTGAAGGCAGATGCTTAACTGACTGAGCCACCCAGGCATCCCAAAAAAGACGTCTGTTTTGGCCCGTTCATTGTATGTAAAAAGTTAGACAAGATTGCTTGGGCTAAGTAAAGGCATTTTCCCATCACATTTGGAGAAGTGACTGCAGGCGTGAAGTCTGCCCAACATGAAAGTTCTCATAACGACCCTGCTCTGTGCAATGGTGTCCCACAGATGGAAGAAACCAGTCATGGACAAACAGCATGGAGAACACACAAAAATAAAAATCATCTGACATCTTGAACCGAGGCAATAGCCAGGTGATCCATCAATGACAGCCAATGTCTGCCCTACAGGTGAAGAGCTGCCTTCTGCAGCAAAAGAGGGATCTCTAAATGTGCTGCCAGGAAGCTGTGCTAGGAGATGCTTTCCCAGTGGAGAAAGCACTTGAGCTTAGCAGAGAGAAAAAGGGCTGGGAGCAGCGGTGCATATGCTACCACGGATACAGTAAATGTGCTCTATGTAGCCAACTGGGCTAAAGGAGAAATCAGTATCAAAAAGTTCAAAGAAGATAAGTAGGTTGTAGCCAAAGCTAAACAAATCCAGCAGAAGGAATTATACTCTATTACGGAGGAAACTCGGATAAACTAACTCAGAGAATTTTGAACAAAAAGAATCACAATTCTGGGTAAAGAAAGATTTTAAAATGTTGACACAGAGCAGTGATACCGAGGCCTTTGCATTTCACTGACTGGTAAAACCTAAAATGTGTGTGTGTGTGTTTATGGTTGGGGAGGGAAATCTAACAGATTTTCTAATTTTTCATTTGCAAATGTGAGGATGATGATGGCAAGGGAACAAAGGGTATCTCCTACTCTCTACCATCTTTATTCATCAGATAAAGGATGTTTTAATGGCAAAGAAAAATAGAGAAAATTAACAAAACCAAAAATTAGTTCTTTTAAAGATTTTATTTATTTGAGAGAGAGAGTGTGAGCATGCACAGCAGACTCCCTGCCAAGGAGGGAGCCCAATGTAGGACTTGATCCCAGGACCCCAGGATCATGACCTGCGTCGAAGGCAGACGCTTAACTGACTGAGCCACCCAGGTGCCCTCTTTCAAAGGATCAACAAAAGTGACAAACCTTTACCTAGACTGACCAAAACCACTTTTTAAATACTATTGAGAAGACTAAATTACTAAAATCAAGAATGAGGGGCGCCTGGGTGGCTCAGTCGTTAAGCGTCTGCCTTCGGCTCAGGTCATGATCCCGGGGTCCTGGGATTGAGTCCTGCATCGGGCTCCCTGCTCGGCGGGAAGCCTGCTTCTCCCTCTCCCACTCCCCCTGCTTGTGTTTCTTCTATCGCTGTGTCTCTCTCTGTCAAATAAATAAAATCTTTAAAAAAAAAAAAAATAAAATCAAGAATGAAAAATGGGATGTTACTACCTACTTCACAGGGACAAAAGAATCATAAGGGAATACTATGAACACTGGTACACCAACCAATTAAAAACTTGAGACACAATGACAAAATCTCTAGGAAGACATAAGCCACTGAAAGTGAGGCAAGAAGAAACAGAAAATCTGAATAGGCCTAAAGAGACTGAATTTTAAAACTTCCCACAAAGAGAAGCCCAGACCCAGAGGACTTCATTGGTGAATTCTACCAAACATTTAAGAGGAATTTAACACCAGTCCTTCACAAACTCTTCCCAAAAATAGAAGAGGAGAGAATACTTCCCAACTCATTCTACTGGAAAACAACAACAGCACAGCTATCTACCACCTTTATAGGACAACAGATATTTTAATGTAGAACAAAGAAAAAAGTATATTATTACAGAACAGTCCTTGTCCAGAAGGGTGTTCATATTAACATACATACAGCTCACATTTTTATAAACATTACACTGTTCTTATTTTGCTCATTTTTCCATAGACTTGTGCAAATGTCAATATAGTTAAAAGAGACAAAACCAGTCCCTAACCCCTGAATATATAACAATCAGCATTATGTATTCAGGAAAATATAATTAATTCTTGCTGTAAATAGGAGTTACAAAGAAATCATACAATAGAAACATTCACTTTAATATTTTCTTATGTAAAAGGTCATTACTGGAGAGTGTGCTGATAGTTTCATTCCATAGAGACTTTGATGACAATCTTTTCAAAAACTGAATCAAAAATCAAGAAAGTCACTGAATCAAAAAAAAAGAATATATTTTTAAAAGCAAGCATATAAAAATATATGCACTAAAGTTGCTATTTAAGAAGAAAAATAACAAAAATGAGATATAATGCTGTTGCTCATGCTTTTGTGTTTTGTTTCAATGGTCAAAAAAAGCTGTTCCTTGTCATCTGTGGTAGAGTCTCTTGAGGACCCCCGAGGAGGACAGGTGTGAATAACATCAGACCCAGGCAATTGCATCACAGGTCTCTCTCAGCCTGCCAACAGTGGACAGGCAGGAACTCCAAGTAGGGCAGTTTCAGCCCACTCTAGAGTGGGGGAAGCTCTCTACCAGACCCCATTCCCCTAGTTCTTCTACTTAGCAGGAAGAAATACTAGGTCGGACAGCAGGACACTGCCTGGACTATGATCAGTGAGCATAGTTACTGTGCATTAAATCATGGTTGCCCAGGGGCGCCTGGGTGGCTCAGTCGTTAAGCATCTGCCTTCAGCTCAGGTCATGATCCCAGGGTCCTGGGATCGAGCCCCACATTGGGCTCCTTGCTCCGTGGGAAGCCTGCTTCTCCCTCTCCCACTCCCCCTGCTTGTGTTCCCTCTCTCTCTGTGTCTCTGTCAAATAAATAAACAAAATCTTAAAAAAAAAAATATGGTTGCCTGGGATGACCGTCTCTCACTCCCTCATTTAGGGTTTGTAAGCTCTCCTCTCTTTGGTCTACTCTACCAGCTGGCTATACATTCTGGGTTTGGCCATGGATGGACAAAGGTCCCTTAAGTCTCATGCCCGTTTGATGTATCTCATTTTATCAGAATTCTCTGAATTTAGGCTTCTGACATTAGCACAGGCTATAATAAAAATGTACTGCTTTCTTTTTCCATTATTCCCTATATATGTATCTTGGGGACTTCACCAGGAGGTAAGGTTGTTTATTCCCCTAAAATTGTGTAATGGCTCCCCAACTCTACTGTAAGGCCTAAAAGTCACTCGTTCTATGTGCATGTGTGAGGGGAAGAGAGGACCCTGGTTTATAGTCTGCTATCTACTATGCTGTAGTAGCTGCCGGTTAGAAGGGTACCTTGGACAAATATTAATAGCATTCTCACATTACCTACCATGTCTCTGTGCTTTATTATAATTTCTCTTCCCAACTCATCTGAACCCTTTTATCCCCCCCTCTCTTTTTACTTACCCATACCTTATGTCTAACAACTAAACCTGATGGAATCCTTATAACCCGTTTTTCTTTGCACATGGCACACATCCTAGGATTTATCAGAATCCACACGTCTCTTATATGACTCTGCCTAAAGAAGAACCTCAGGGACTTTGGTTCAGACTTAGCTTGGGGAAGATCACGTACTTTCCTTCTCATCTTTAAAATCTAGTGGTTAGAGGCAGAATAGGTTTCTCACATCACACTTTGAACCCAAGTGTCACTAGGCCACCATAAAACAGAATCCTTTAGAGGTTTAATTATTTTTAACTTTGTCATAAGTTCAAAAACAAAGAATATATAAATTAGGAGAAAAGAGGTAAAAACTTACTGTTATTGGTACATCTTTTGTTCCTGAATTTAATAAATGAAGGTTTAAAACTTTTGGTAGATCTGTTAAAATTGAAGAAAAGAAATATTTCTTTAACAGGTGTGCTTTACAGCAAGTTATAATTTTTACCTTATTAGATACCAGACTGAATCTATTCTAGAACGTGAAAAAGAACTACAATCACATTAATAAAAAGAATGTGATTCTACCTAACTCATAGATAGCAGTCACCTTACTCATAAGGATACTGTGTATTACAAGAACTGCCCCCTCCTAAATAACCAGAAAAACAAAACAAAACATAATTTTTTAGTGGAATTAGACATTACTAATCTTTCATTTCCAGCAAAGCATAAGGAAGCAAATTAATAATGTGCAATGTGAAATAATCACATTAAAACCGAATCTAATTTTCAAAAAGGGTCTTCAATCCTAACCAATCAAATTCTAATTACACATGGCCCACAGAAATCCCAAATTGTAAGTATTTCTATTTTTTCCTTAATAAATCCTTTAACTTGCGTGATCTCAGTTTTAGAATTTGAATACTTTCTTTGACCATCTGGGACAAAATCTAACGTTATTGTAATATAACTAAATAATTAATAATATTAATAATAAAATATTAATAAAATTAATAATATAATGGAATAATCCATTACTAAGAAAGAATCCAGAAATAAAGCTTTTTATTTCCTTTATTTTACTATTAAAAAAAAGATTCAGCATAACTGAATATGTGACAAACTAGATTAAAAAACTCAGAAACTATACCTTCTGCCTCAGTCTTCTGTTTAGAAGACTTCACTTATCTCATGACCTTGCTTTCCCACCTGGTAAGCAATGGTGTCCCTCAGAGGAATGGGGTATGAACCCGTGAGGGCTCTGAGTTCCCAACAGTAGGTTTCTACGAGATCATGTAACCTACTGAAAGGTAACTTTCAAAGCTGAGTTACCAAGGAGTTAAAGTACAGCCAGCCATTCAGCACTGAACAGAGGTTTTTTTTTTGTTTTGTTTTGTTTTAAGACTTAGAAAAATACTGTCTCTTTTCTTTACCTTGTGTTCGTAGTGTACCAAAATCTAACATTTCGGTTGAGGAATAAATTCCAGGGGCTTGGAAAAGAGAAAAGTAAACCATTAGATATTACTTTGCCCAGAGTAAGATGTATTGAAAACCAAACAAACATACATTTGCAGCTCCTTCAATTTTCTACTAACCTGTTGTAACTTCTACCTCAACAGGAAGAATGATAAACTCTGTGCTGTCTGAAGCATTAGTCTTTATTCTGATGAAGGCTGTGTGATTATCTGCTTCTCTGGATGAAAAGCTGGCTCTCATCACTCCCTTGGTTTCATAAGGAGGAATCTCCTGACAAGTTAACAGACCATAATGTAGCACAGCTTTTGTCATGTTGCAAAACCACCATAGTTTAATGAATAAGATGACAATGACTGAAAGATGCATTATTATTTTATATACCTACTAAGAAAAAAAATACATTGCCACTTAAACAAATATATATTCCACAGATTACAACACACTCCAATTTTGAAGAACATTAAATGTAAAAAAAAGTGCATCTTAGAATTCATGAAGCATGGTATGTAATATTGAGCAAATGAAAGAAATAAAATTATCTGAAAACAAACTGTCAGTTGCAAAATTATCATTAAAAGACAGAATTAATCTATAAAATCATTTATTCTTTAACGTGATGCTTGGGCATATAATTCGGTCCTAAAATTCTCTAACAAACAGCCATATCACCATTGGAGGGAAATGCTTTTCCAGAAATCTACAGGAATCTCTTTAACGTAGAGAGCTTAGACCCGTCTGTCCTTTCATTTAAAACCGAACACAGCAAAACTTCCCAGGCAAATCTACAGTTCACCAACTGCTTTCTGTAAGGCTCTTAGCAAGTAAGATCGCAAACATTTTCAGGCCTGTAATGAGAGAACACTCAAATATACACTAGAAGGAAGATTCATCGGGGAAAAAAAAATTTTTTTTTTTTGAAATGTAATTCTTTCCTGGTTTTACAAAATCTGGCCTCCTTGGGACCATCAGAATTTCTCTGCACACACTTTTTGGCATATTTGAGGAGATCCCTGTGATACAGGATTTATTGGTCTTCACTTACTTCTCTATTCTTTTAAACTTTTTAGCCTCAAAGTAGGAAAGAAGTGTTTGGAACCCTCCTGGGTCCACTACAGATGCACCATCCACTTCCCCATCTCTAGGGAGCTGACTTGTCTCTGGGCTTTTCTTATGTACACTGTAAATGGGCTGAGGGTGAGGTCAAGGCCAACTGATTTTTTTCTTACTCTAGGTTTGTAGGAATAAGAATAACTTTCCTTGTAGCCACTGGGAGTATTAAAACATTATGCCATCTCTGCTACCATTGGTTATAGTTCTTAACTAATTAGAAATCTGAATTCTCTTATGTTTATTAGATACCAATTATATTTCACACTAAATTCTTAGTTCTTCTATCTAGAATTAGAATATAAACTGAATAGCTTATAGTTAATTCTCTGAAGCATTGTTTTATATACTATTTCTCGCAAAGGCTTTTCAAACAATAATATAATTTCAAGATAAAATATTTTTTGTGAAAGAATATAAATGAGCCATCCATTACATATTTCTACCTGCTAATTTGTCCCTGTATCTGACGAGTTAACCAAATCCCTGACAAATTTGCTTCTAATTGCTCAAGTCAACATCCTAAAAATGTCCCTTCTGCATCCCTTCCTTGGTCGAGACTGGTCAGAAGACAGAACAAGAGGCTATGTGTGTTTAATAGAGCGATTAATAAATAAATTTGATATTCAGAACTTATTCATAGCAGTAAAGTCTGTTCAATTATGGATGAGGAGCGATCTGAGTGCCCTTGGTACAAGAAGGACACTTACTATGCCTTTCCCCTCTTTGATTAAGGCATGGTAGATAACATTTAGAGAAAAACCCTCCTATGGCAGGGAACTTTACAAATAAGGTAGTTGCTACATATTCACTGATTTGGCTAATATTTGCCAGTATTCTCTAAGAAAAAGTGGTTCTCTAAGCACTGACACAAACTAGTGTTAAATATTCAACAATATTAAAGGTGAATGTAGATCACCTAAGAATTTATAATTTTCTAAGCTGTCACGAGGGCTTGACTACGTTCCCTCTGAAAATGTCATCTCTATCAACAAGTCTGCACAGTCAATTCTCTACGTCAAACATATAATGGATCCTTCCCATCGGGTTTGTTTTTTCTTTTTTAATCTCAGTATAAAGCACATTATAAATGATTAGATTCAGAGACAACTTTACCAATATAATTCTGTGAAAGAATAGTTGAAACCTCTTCCTTTCCACACAGTGGGTTAAAGCTCCCACCAATTTTGTTCACTGCTCTTTCCAAAAATTACTACTTATACTTTTCTCTCCATGTATCATCCAATTTTCATATATATCTGATGTAAATTTTTTTTTTTTTTT